TACTGATTTTTTAGGGGCAGGGGTGAGGGAAGAGACTGTTTTAATTATTCCAGGACCTTTAAGTTTCCATATAAATTTAAGACAATGCTTAATTTTTACTACAAAATTCCTTCTCCAAATTTAATTGGTATCATTGACTAGAGATACCTAATTGGGAAACAATGACATCTTAAAAATTTGAGTTTTCTAATCCAAGAACATGGTATATTTTTCAATTTATTTGCTACTTACTCTATTTATTTACTAATTCAAACTTGTCTTAACAATGATTTTAAATTTTCAGGTAGAAGTCTTGTTCACATTGTGTTAAAATTTCTCATAAATATTTTGTTTTTATGTTAATGTAAATATTAACTTAAAATTCTTAATTCTCAATAATTTATTGCTAAGATACAGAAACACAAGTGAGTTTTGCATATTGACCTTTTATCCTGAATTTTCTGAAGTTACATATTAACTACTGTAGTTTATTTTGTTTTAGTACATTTCTCAGAGCTTTTTATGTATATAATCATGTTCTTTGCAAAAAAAAAAAGTTTTCTACTTCTGTTCCAAAATGTGTATGTTTTATATCATTTTCTTGCCTTATTGCAGTGCTAAGACATCCAATACACAAGTTGTAAGATTGAACACTTTGCTTTGTTCCCAATCTTTGAAGAATTTTTGAAATATTTTACAAGTAAGTCTTAATTTGGCTAGGTTGTATTTAATATTCTTTTTTGTCAGATAGCTAGAATTACTATCTACTCTTAGGTTTCTGAAGGTGTTGAATTTTGTCAAGTAGTTTTTGTTCACCTGCTAAGACAGTCACATACATTGCCTTTTATTTTTAGAATGTCTTTTTAGAATCAATACATTGATTGATGCAATTATTTCTAAAATTGCATTGATATGTGATTGTTAAACCAACCTGCATGCCTGATGAGTCATTATTTCTTTTATATATTATTAGTATTATTTGCTAGTGTTTCATTAAAATTTTGTGCATTATATTAATGGTGTTTTTTTTGTGTGTAGACTGTCATTGCTAAGTTTTGGTGTCATGGTGATTCTGGCCCCATACAATGAGTTGGAAAGTTTCTTCATTTATTTTCTGAAAGAGTTTGTGTGTTTTTGCTATTGTTTCTTTGTTTCATAGAATTCACCACTGATAAAATTCACTGGGAACAGTGCATTTTTCTTTGTGATAAGCCTTTAAAAGTTTCTTTACAATATAGAACAATATATATTTTCTATTTCTCTTGTGCTAATTTTGATAATTTGTGTCCTTCAACTACTTTGTCTAAATTATCTAAATTGTTAAAAGTGTTGACATAAAATTCTGTATATCTTATTATATACTTCTACTATCTATAGAATTTATGAATATGACCTTTCTTCCATTCCTTGTATTGTTACTTTGTGATCAGATTTGCTAGGTATAACTAGTTTAGTGATCTCAAAGTACAGTATTTTGTCTTAATTTCCTTTATTTTTATGTTTCCTGTTTCATTGATTTCAACTTTTATCTCTATTATTCCTTTTCTTCTACTTAGCTTAGACTTTAATTTTCTGCTCATTTTACTAGCTTGTAAAAGTTTAATCATTCATTTCAATCCTTTTTTAAAATTTTCTAATATAAACAGTATAATAGCTATAAATGTCCATCTATTCAATGTTTTATCTTTATGAGCCAAATTTTGATATGCCTGTTTCCATTATAATTTAGCTTAAATATTTTAAAATATCCATTTGGTTTCTTTTTGATGCATAAATTACTTTGAAGAATTCTTTTTCATGTTCAAGTATTTGGAATTTCTTTACATATTTTTGTTCTTTATTTTATTTTATACTTTGTTTCATTTATTTTATTTTCTACATATTTTTGTTTAGTTGTGGTTGATGGCATTATTCAAATATTTTATGTATTGTCTATTATCCCTTTAGTTCTATACATTTTCTCCATATATTTTGAATTTCTGTTATTACATGGATACACATTTAGGATTGTTATATCTTCTTGATGAATTCACCATTTGGGAAATATAAAATATCTCTGTTTATCCATTAATATGACTTTTCTTGAAATCTATTCTGTTAATATTAATACAGCCATACTAGCTGCCTTACACTTAGTGTTTGTATACTACACCTTTTCTTTATTGTTTACTTGCACACTGATATTTATATTTAAAATATGTCTCTTAAGTAGCATATAGTTGAGTCTTGCTTTAAAAAGAAAATGTAAGTTTGACAGTGTGTTTTTTAATTGGCATGTTTAGGCCATTTATATGTAATGTAATTATTGATGTGGTTGGGTTTAAATCTGACTTCCTGCTATTTGTTGTTGGTTTGTTTCATCTAGTTTTATTCTTTTGCTTTTCTTTCTTGCATTATTTCTGATGAGAACACAGTTGTTTCTTCCTTAACTTTGCTCCCCTTTATGGGACTTTTTAATTCTTTTGCTTTTAAGATTTTCTCTTTTTCTTTGATGGTAGTTTAATTATCATATGTCTAGGGTTTTTTTACTTTCATCTTTCAAGGTTCACTGAAATCATGGATTTTTAGTCTATTTTTATCTATTTTGGGGGAAATCAGCCATTATTTCTTCAATTATTTTCTTTGTCTTCCCCTCATGCTCTCTTTCTGTGACTTCATCTACTATGCAAACTATTTGCTATTGTCCTAAAGGCCACTGAGTTCATGTTTTTCAGTCTTTTTTCTCTGTGGGCTTCAATGCTTAAAATTTTTATTGTTTGTGCTCAAGCTCACTGAACATTTTCTGCCATTAACTTCATCCAATGATTTGTTTTTATTTTCACAGCATCTTTTAATCCTAGAATTTCCACCAGGTTTCCTTTATGTAGTTTCATTTTTCTAGCCTGAAATTCCTGCTTTACTCCACCAGTCACGTCCATCCTTTCTGTATAGTTTTTTATATATCTGTAACAGATGTCTTCAAGTACTCCTCGGCTAATCCCACTATTAATGTTTTCCGTTTGGGGTCCTCCAGACTCCACCTTGTATCACTAGTTTCCATTGTCATCAAAAGTTCACCTACCTGCTCATTAATCCTGAAAACTTTCTGATATATCTAATTTAGTAGGCAACAGCTTTAAAGCAACCAATCTTCTGCTGCTAATGACTTTTTTCTCTTAATAACTGATTCTGTTTTCCTGCTTCTTCCCATATACGATAATTGTTTAAGTGAATTAAGTACTTCATGTGCAAAAGACTTTGGAGAGTGAAGTATAATTTTTGTTTTGTTTTGTTTTGTCTTTTCCTGAGATATCGACCTTTACCCTCTGCTTCAAAATTGGTTGAGAAGCTAGTTATTTAATTTATTCCAAGGGTCTAGTTGAGGTGGCCCTGGGTTATAACTTTAGCTAGCATGAGTTCACTTCTGGTAAACCCAACTATAAATGCCACACTCTGCTGTTTTCTTGAAGCTGAGCTCCTTGTTCTTGTCATATTTGTTACTAGAAGAATATTGGCCCACCTTTTCAGATAGCTTTGGTTCACTTTTCATTTCTATTTCAACAGGCTCCCAAACCTAAGTACTGTGAGATGTGTGAGAAAGGGTGAACTTTCTTTGCTTTCTAGCCCATCTATCATTGCTACTTTCTTGGGAAAATTTCAGGAAGGTGGGGTGAGAAGAGATTGTAGGGATGAATGGCTTATTTTTGTATCCAGACACAGATCTATCCTCCCAATCTGCTGTCATCAAAAGCTTGTGTGTTTTTCCTTGCCACTGCAAACTAGACTATGTGTGGACCATACCTCTACCCAACTGCACGTAGATAAGACACTCGTCCCTGGGTATGGGAAAGTCTAGGCTCTCCACTCTCTGGAATTCAGTTCAACAGAGCTTCTTTGCATCCAGCACTTCTGATAGATTCATAGAAAGGTATGATTTTTATTTTATCCATTTTTTCCTCATCAATATTGATGTCCTTCTACATGCCTTTTTAATTTTTGTTTGAAATATAAGATTCATAGAAAATCACTTATATGATAAGTGTACAGCTCAATAAATCATCACAAAGTGAATATGCCTGTGCAACCACTACCACAATTATTATGAGCACCCAAGAAGCCCCATTCAGGTACCCTTCTGTCACTAACACCTTCTCACTGTCTTTACTTCTCTTACCATTGATTAGTTTTGTGGTTTTGTATTGAAGATATTATCTCTGAACTGAATTATTTTAGTATATACATTATGTCTTTTTATGTTTGACAGTGTGTGAGATTCATTTGTGCTCTTCATGTATTACTTTACACATTGTACAATAGCACAGCCCATAATTTACTACACAACCTATGTATGTTTTGTAGCATATTTATTATCTAATCAACTACTTATTTATCTCTTATACTGTTGATGGATACTTAACTTTTGATGATCATAATTTTTGACCATAATAGGTATTGCTTTCATTAACATTTTCATGCATTTCAGTATGTCATTTGTTGAACACATGTACATTTGTTGTGGGCATATTGGAAATATCAGAAATTCTGAGTTATAAGGGTGGGTATGTTCAACACTAGAAGATACTGCCAAAGAGTTTCCTTCAGCAGCATTTTTACTAATTTGAGTTCACTGACATGATTTAAAGGGACAGCTAATTCCTTCAAGCAAAACAAAACAAATCAGAGTTTCAGAGAGAAAGTGAAGAGCAATCAAAACACACAAATAAATAGTCTGGCAACAGTGGGCCAGATTCCTGCTAGGCAACATCCTTCTGGGTCCGAATAAGCAGCTGCCTCCGGGAGATAGGCTGTGCCTGATCCAGGTCACTACAACCCCACCTGGACCACTTCACTCATTTGATTTTGCTATTCTTGCTTAAAAGCCTGTGCTTTTCTGACTAAAACAATTTTCATCCTATAATTTCATACAACACATCAAAATTCTTTGGAGGGATGGCTTCTCTTCCACTGCCTCTGCATTACCTCCAAGGCATTCTTTTTTCTTAGGTTCCTAAAAAATTAGACTGGACGCACACAGCCAAGATGAGCCATTCGTGCATTAGGTTCTGCCCATAAACTCCTCTGCTTTCCCGTATTAATCACCTGTCCATCTGTATTAAAGGCACAGTGCTCCTTTAATTCCCTCTCAGTTTTCTTCCTCCTGCTCTTGGGGCTCCACTCTGGATTCTATTTCCACTCCACTGCTGGAGATGTTCATACGCAGCAAGCACCCAGATCCTTAATTATGCTTTTCCAGACGTCTTACCTCTTAGAAGACCACTTCCCAAGGACACAAAGGAGGAAGGAGAAAGAGGAAAGTATTTTATTATCCCATGAATTCTGCCCTCTGGTTGGTTTCTCACCCCTTTTGTAACATAAATTAATTTGCAGATTCTTGGCTTTTATAAAATGGGAGATGATTTACTCAGTACAAGATGAGATGAAGATATCAAACCTGTGTTCTATGTGCCTGTCTGACATTCTGGGAGCTGGGGATGAGCTGGCTGGTGTTCTGAGTTGCAGCTGGGAAGACTGTTTTCAATCTTGGTAACTGACAGTTTGGAAAAAGTTGAAACTTTATGAAAGAAACAAGTACAATATGTTAATACTATATATTATGAAAAGAAACACAACAAATACAGCTGTGAAAAATACCCAAGGTTATAGGGAAAGGGGAACCACTCAATGGTGCTTTAGGTCATCAGATATGAAAGGTATTTACTTTTAACCTGGTCCTTTCAGTAATCAGTGAGACAGAAAAGAGGGAAACTGATTTCTGACAGAGGGAACAGCATGAGCAAAGACACAGAGTGCAGAATATATGGTACACTTGGTGAATGATAAACTGCTGAAATAGTCTCTCTACCTTCTTTGCCTTCAAAGTGACTTGAGCTTTCTGCAAAGCTGCCTTAGATGCAACCATAACATATTTTTGTATTCCTGCCTCAGGGCCTTTGCAGGCCTCCAAGACATTCAGAATTTTAAAGGTATGGTCCAATCTTCTCTTAGCCTCCTCACAGAGAAGCCAGGAGCTGGCAATTTCCTCCTGATTTCATGGCACTGTAACAGCAGAAGGAATGTGATGAAGGGGGTGCCACAAATTTCCCTACCATCTTCAGAGCAGCTGGTTTCAAGCTCAGTTGAGGGGCAGGATCCTCCTAACTGGTTCCTGGGTATCTCATAAAGGGAACTGGTCCATGTGTTGTTGAATCTGTATCTCTGTGGAGGAAGGAGGGTATGGGGCTTCGTGTTCCATCCTTGCTGATGTCAGCCTCCAGGTTGTCTCACTGACCCACGGGAATCAGGCACATTTTTGGAACAGGCCTGGGACATAGTCAAGTCTGACAAATACACGAATGAGATGGCAGACCAGCCAATCAGAAGTGGAGTTGGGCATGAAGAGCACGCTTTTGTTGTTTCAATGAACACAGAATACATTTTAAGGAACCACCACAAATAATTCCTAGAGAGGTTACTTCAAACCAAACTGAAGAAAGTTAGCTCTCCCAACTCAAAGCAGTACATGTCTGCTTCTTAAGTGATAACCCTATTGGTCTTCAGGGACCAGGACTCACACACACTATTTTTTTCTAGGGTAGAGAGTTCCAAAGAGTATGTGGAAAGAACCTTGAATCTCTCTTGGCAGAATCAAATCAACACTAAGTATGGACTGCTTAGCTTCCTGGTTACTGGGGCTCTTAGAGACCCAACTCCTTACCACAACCGGGTTTGGGGTCCTATAAAGAATACAGTTGCTAGATTTAGCAAATATAATTACAGCACATGCACTTAATAAAACAAGAAATAATTGTAGTATATATTTATAGAAGTTATCTGTTATCTGAAATATAAATTTAACTGTGTTCTTTGTTTTACTTGGCAAATTCTAGTCAAGAGGACACTCATATATTTGAGGGGCTATTATCTGGGCTTGGTTTTATAGCTCTTAAGGGCATGTCTAGGTATAAAAGATAAACATTAAAAGGTGTCTTAATTCAAAAGTTCAGCTTGGAAACTCCAGTCCTGGAGGGAAAAAAAACAAATACAAAGGCACCGAGGAATTGAATATTTCCATTTGTTAGCTAAAACTCCATTCTATAGAGAAAGCATCACAGCCATTCTACAAGAACATGGTAGTTTTAAGTGAGAGAATATGCAATGGATACAACTTTATTTAGAATATGGACAGATTGGACATGTAATATAAGAGTAAATACACACACACACACACACACGAAATTAGGAAATCAGCCACAGCTGAAACTGATCATACAAGAAAAAAGAAAATGAGAATCAAAACAAAAGCTAAATGGTACTTTGTTAGTGACGGGCTGTACATTTTATTTTAAGTCACAGAGTAGTCAGTGCAAAGAAAAGACTATGATTCTCATTGTCTGCAAGATAATCTAAAAACCAGCTGTTGCTCTGGAGAGGCAAAGTCATTTCTGGTCCTCAGCCAGAGGGGAAGTTTCTCTCTTGGAATCTCAGAGAGAAGGTGGGACATAATTTACTGAGCTATATCCTCAACATCAGCTCTACCAAAGATTGAGCTGCTCATCGAGTGATTCATTCATTGGTTTAAACTTTATTTTCAGTGCTTACTATATGCACCAGGCATTGTTCTAATCACTGGGGATATAATAGGAAACAAATAAGGTCCCAAGCTCATGGAACAAACATTTTAATGATAGGAACACGTTTGACTTCAAAGATCTCATTGAATGATCTCTCCCCCTAATAATGCCATGTTCTGAGATTTTTGCTTTCCCACTGCATTGATTATTTACCAATGTGGATGGCTTTATGACAATGGGATCAGCACATTCTACTGACGTGACAAAATGTGACCTTGGCAGGGTCCTGATGAGGACCTTTTGTGGTAGAGAGACAGAATGTTTGAAGTCATCTAAGGTGTCTTCCCTTAGCTTTCGCCCTCCCACCCTACTGCTCTGAGCCAGACTTTTTGGCCATAGTCAAGTCTGGCCCTTTCATTTCTCAACTCTGGAGCCCATATTGTTTCTGGAGATTCTTACAGGATCTCCAGATAAGCCCATATGCTAGACAGGGACTAGGAGGTTTATATAATTTTACATCACTTCATCCTCACAACCCCTGTGAGTTAAGGAAAATCAAATCCAAAGAGTGTAACTTGCCCCAGGTTATTTAGTTAACTTATGCTGCTTCCCTTTATACTATCTTGGATGCAGTTGATCTCTGCCATCCTAGAGTCCCATCCCACCCAAAACCTCTTACTCAAGGCCAACTGACATAAGACCAGTCTGAGACTGGACCCTGATACCTCCGGTGCTGGCAGCTGGACACAGGACAAGACCCCTTTCACCTCCAGAGGAAGAATAATTCTTTTCTCAG